TAGATACACCTCAGACAATGGACAGTGTCCGACACAGTTTTCCTTACAATGCTGTCTTTTGTTTCTTTTCTTTATATTTTTATTATTTATTTTTAAAAGTTGCGATATGCATTTGCACGTAATTATGAAGAGACGTCTTCAGACACCTGACAAAGCGTTTTGTTACTAAAGTCCTCTGGAGCTTATTAGTGATGAGAGAGAGAGAGAGTTGGCTAGTGGGACAACAAGCTACAGAACAGTCAGCTTTTATGAAACTTGCCAGATGTAGAGAATCGAAGAAAAACAAAACATTCACAAGCACACCGTCCGACAACTGAAGTGAAAGGAGTAAGTGACAGGGACCCAGTTGGCCTCTGCCGCTGCTCACAGCACATAAAGACAGTGATTGAACCAATTATGCCATCAGATATAACGGCGTTTATGGAAATTACTGAGTGTTGTGATAGTTTGGTTGAACGTGATCCTAGCTAGAAACTATTTCTAGCGACCTGTTTCATCGAAAGTTTAATTAAGAATTTTTATGCTTTTCAGACCAAGTTTATAAAATAAAAGAATGATTTGTAGATTTGTATGTACGACCTTATATTTCTTCCACGAAACTATTGAACGAATTTAGGTAAAATTTAGAATTCTGAGTATACGCTAAAATGTTACAGGCGGATTTTTAAATTTGTGTGTACCGCCGAAATGTAACTTTTTTTCAATTTAACTCAAATCTAATTTTTAAATCGTACATACCATAAAAGAAATATACCAGATTTTAAACATTTGAAACATTTTCTGATACGATGAAAACTTATCCAAATATCGCATAACTTAGCTTCACTCCGTGTGTGTTTTATTAATGTGTGGATATAACCAGTATTGTGTCGATTCGCTGAAAGGTTTCATGAGCGCTGCAGCCAGCAGTCTGAGACTTTCTCCGTAGTTTGTTCCTCTCTTTTTCATACGGTAACACTGCTGACCTCAATACTGACGTTCGTGTTCACAAACACTGGACACATTTCAGTTAAATAAACACGCGTGCACCCGACTGAAGAAATCTCTCTTCCTTGTCACGAATACTTAAACTGTCGTTTAACGAAGACTTCGAAACGGTTAGGAAGCAGCTTAGATTCAGTGTTTACAGAATCCATGGCATTCGAGTGGAGATAATGGAGATTTAAGATGTAGATAGCATAAACTTAAAATGGATCCACAGAAGAAAGGTTTTTAATACGACAACGGCCCTTCTTCATACGCGTTCAAAGTCGCGTTCCTTTTATAACGACGTTACTGGGGATTCAGATATTGTAATGTTTGATGTTTTTATTGGGTTTATTTTTATCCTTATATTTTTACTTCACATGGAGGGAGAGGGAGAGAGAGATAGAGAGAGAGAGAGAGAGAGAGAGAAGCTTATTTCGAGTCTCAAAAAATTCTAGGTGCCAAATCGCCATGGCGTCCAGTATTTCTTGCTTTATTTTTCTGTCTTTCATCTATCCAGACATTTAAGACGCGTGTCTTGTTTGATTCCGTCATGCGTATCGCAGTTTTGGCATTTCTCTTCAGACTACAACACCGGGGGCAAAGTGGCCTATAGAATGTTCTTGTTTGTAGCGCGTATATTAGTTGGAATTGATCGCAGATAATTTGCATGATGGCTTTTTGTAAACATCTTGCTCAGAATACTTGCTGAACGTATGAAAGTTGTTACTTTTTTTTTCACTTGTTGGTTTCTTACGAGGAATATAAAACCTGTTTAACTTCGTCATGTATCACACTCCGATTACTAGCAGGCCTACTGAGGTTATAGAGGTATATGTTAAACATTATCATAGAGAGAAATTTGTGACAGAACAACATAGACTACTCAGTTCTGACGCCTTGTACTTGATGGAGCCACTTATATTATCCGCGTTTCGGAGGTCACTGCTACCTCCTATGACCCCCAATTTAAAGGACATACTGTATGTCTTATTTATCTGTGTTTTACCTGATGTAAGGACAGATGTTTTGTGATGGCTATATTTCGTCTCCAAGTACATTGACATCGATGACACTATAATTGTTAGGCTATGCTTTCTCTCATCAATTTGAAATAGATAAAAACTTTGTACTTCCAGGAATCTGCGTTCTTAAAAGCACGTAATCAAATGCGGGTTGTTTACATTTCCAAACCGTTCACGTTCAGGCACACTTAACGTGTCGCAAGATCGCTATTGGCAGAAGAAGTTTAGTTCCTACACACATGACAGGCTTTGAATTTCGATCGTCCCGATCACCAGATTACCTGACTATGGAAATGCCATCGGTGTTGCTGGAATTCGTCCATCGTTTAGTAGTCCGAAGAGAGCACACAATTTTGGTCCGTTATTCCAGTGGACGATGGTTTTGAAATTTATCGATGTATATGATGAGTCTAATAAGATTCAATGAATAATACTCACAAAACTGTGCTTAATTTTTACTGGTCGTGACTCCCTCTATGGATCTATGAAGAATAAATTCAGAGGGGAACATAATGTAGTTAAATTTGTATTAAGAGTACTGAATTAATAATGAGGTACTCACCATATTTCTTGCTATCCTTAGCTTTATCTCTTCCTCTTGAAGACGGGAAGGGCTTCAGTCTGTTTTCTTCTTCTATGTCGTCATAGTCCGGCTGCAAAAAGGACGATTCATTGGAATGGCGCATCACAACAAGAAGTAGGGACGTCATAATTGAACCAACTGGCTCTGGATAAGAGCCAGAAGTTCCAAGGTATCCGTAAATGTACGCGTTCCTTGCGTGGTGTACACAAGAAGGCATAAAGAATGGGTCGTATCTATTGGTTCTAAGACGGGGAGTTTTCTACCCTCGCTCTTTATCTGATCGCACAAGTAGAATTCTACTTCAGAAACGCAATTTTATAATACTTGGGCGACGGACGAGGTCCAAAAGGGCAATTTAACACAATTTAACGCACCGTTTAAAGTTCCTGAAGGGGTTATAGTGTGGAACAAGCTGCTAACAGAGTAGGAGTACAATTACGGGCAGGCCTACTGTAAAATATTATAATCATCATTAACAATTATTATTGCGACATTCGCTGTGTGCACAGCTTTTGCTTGTCACCGTACGCAAAAATGCTCTTAGCATCCAACGTTCAGTTTCCTGGAGGCGTGATTCAAATACAGATTCGAAAAAAAAAAATGCTACAACTTAATGAACGTTCCCTGCTAGTGAAAGGTGAGCGAACAGTGTATCATTACTTCAGAACCGTTGTTTGATTTTCTACAGTGCATAGTTCCATGCAATGCACGACAAAAACAAAAGCCAGACAGGCGTGCTCATAAACTGGAGCACTTGGAGGTCACACGACTGCCTGATCTGGTCGACATAATTCATATTGTTACCATAACCTGGGATGAGGCGTGAGTCTGAGGCTAAGGAGAAAGGAAGAAGCCTGAGGTCAGTCTCAGTTTGACTTTCCAGTCAAACTGAGTT